CCTGTATTACCACCTGGGCCAAGGAAGAACTGGCCCACCACCTTGCTGGTCGACTCAGCTGGAGAGCTGCAGTGGCTTCAGTGTCTGAATTGGCCCCAATGTCCTGAGCAGGGGAGAACTGGCCCCAAGATCCTTGGCAGCCTAGGAAAACTTCCCTCCCTGCTGAAGGCAAGGATGTAATGATATTACTAGACTCAAGATAAATCCTAAATGGGTGTTTATTGGGGAACAATTACACAGAAAAATACAAAGAACCACTGGAGCATTTCCCTGTTCTCCCCACCGGATCCCCTGACATGTCAGAAAGAGCCAGCAAAGGAAAGCCATACCTTTCCACTTCTGTTTGACTGAAGCCACACCCAAAGGGGTGCGGCCACCATTACAGGTCCACAGGCCAGATGCCTACAATTCCCCTTTTAGTCTAAAGAAGAAGGTTTTAAGCCTGATGCAAAAACTATATATAATGATAACAAATGTCAAGTATACTCCAGGAAAAGGAAAGGTAATCCTACCCTAATTAAAACCCACTATCAGCAAGAGCAACACTGAACAATAGATATATACTACACCCTGGTCTCTGGCTGCTGCACTGGGAGGGCTGTCCCTGATGACAATGGACATGGGAGAGCTGGTCCTGACCTTCGTTTGAGAAGGCAGTCCTAGTGGAGGCCCAACCTGACCAATTCAGCTACTGCCCAGGCCCATGTCCAGGGCTTTGAGTTTGCTCACAACATCTACCACATTCATGGCCTGCTAGAGCTTGTGAAAGGACTGGTCCTGCAGAACCGTAGCAGCGGGATTTCCCTGCAACAGGAGATCTGAGAGGAGTTTTGGTGAGGGTCCCAGTATTGATGGAATATCAGAAGCCAGAGGCCTTGAACCAAAACCAACAACACATTACACAATGAACGCTTGCAAATGAAGCTGTTTGGACAAGAAGATACGCTGCATGACACACTGCAGCTTTCAAGGCCACTGTGACAAATGAGTATGTGATGGAAAGGCAGGAAAGATGGAGGACTGACCTTTTAAATTACTTTCATTCTTTTACATTTTCTTTTGGTGGGGTACGGGGAGGCTCCAAGAGTAGAGGGCAGACATGGAAGGACTGGGAAAAGAGTGGTACTGGGATGCATGATGTGAAATTCCCAAAGAATCAATAAAAAATTGTACTCAGAATTTTTTTTGGGCTACCAGCTCACAAATAGTGACAGAGAGACTTAAAAATTATGAAAGCTAGCCATTCATTCACTTAAACTTATTCTTTAAATAGCTCTCATAAGTTAAATTAACCCATTTCTATTAATCTACATTTTGTCACTTACCACCCATCCTGCTTCCTCTATGTCTTCTCCTTTTCCTTTCTCTCCCTGGAAATCCTGCCTGTACCTCATGCTTAACTATTGGCCTTTCAACTTTTTACTACACCAATCACAGCAAATACATCTCCACACAGTGTACAAATATCCTACAATAAAAATTATGTTAATATAAAAAAGATTACTGTGGTTGTTTGGAAAGAATATAGATTTGAGGAACACACAAAGAGAATAAATATTATTGAGTTTTAGATACTGTTTTTGAAAACCTTCCTACATGCCTATTTGACAACCACCACATGAGGCTATTATTCCCTTTTTTAGATGAAAAAACTGAGGAACAAAATTCAGGTGACACAAATACCAATTCCCAATAACATTCATTTTGGAGCTTATACAGATTCCCATTGAACCTCATCCTGATCCTACAAGGTCTTGCTACTTAGTGGGAACTAAGATCATATTCAAAAGGCCAGTCTACCCTTTATCAGCCACTTGAGGATGATGGGAAATGTGGTAAGATCAGGGACTACCATGACCATGTGCCTATTGGCAGTATTTCTTTTGCTATAAAGTTAGTTCCTTCACCATAGGCAATGCTGCATGGGCTACTATGATGGTGGCTAAAGCATTCTATAAGTCTATGGGTGGCATTTTTGCAGAAGAAGGACATTCATGGAAGGAAAAAAACTATATCCAGAGTATATTTTATAGTTAAAGAGAAAATCACAGCTCCTTTCATGTTGAAAGGGTTCCCATGTAATCAACCAGCCACCAAATGGATGGCTGACCCTAAAAGAATGGTGTCACTTTGGAAGTCAGTATAGATCTTATCTTTCCTGTTGGATGACTGGAAACTCAGCAATGGTTACAATTAGGTCAGTCTTGTTGAGTGTAAACCTATGTTATGTAAAGAATAGCCACCATTGCCATCACTGTGAGCTCTCTGAACATGAGCACATTGGCAATGAAGAGGGTGGCTGGGGGAAGAGATTGGTTGCTATTCACAAGCAGCCAGTCATATCTACTTTACAATAAACCATCCCCTCCAGTCACCCTTTTGTGTACATTCACAATGGTGCAGATATTTTCACTACTTTTTGTTTCGTCTGAATAGGTATATTCTCATGTTTCTTTTTAAATTTATTAAAACCTTTTAAAGTATGTGTGTGTGTGTGTGTGTGTGTGTGTGTGTGTGTGTGTGTGTGTGTGTGTGTAGCACAAATATGAAAGTCTGAGGACAAATTTTAGGAGTGTATCCTTCCATGGGACCTGAGGATTAAATTTGGGTTGTCAGATTTTTATGTTAAATACTTTTATACTCTGAGACATTGTGCTATTTTCTCCTCTTGATTTTTTTCAAAATTGTTACTTTTAAATTTATGTATTGCTTTTACTTATGTGTGTATGCCACATGTATGTGGAAACCAGGAAAGGATATTGTGTTTCCTGGAGATGAAGGTATGGTGAGCCACTCCATGTGGGTCCTGAGAACTGAATTTGGATTCTCTGGAAGAGCAGAAAATTCTCTTAACCTTGGAGCCATTTTTCCAGTCTTCAACAATTTTCCAGCCTTGTCCATTCAACCAAATCATTAGCAGTAGCCAATAATTGACATACAATCACACATCTGGTCATGTTTCTATCTAAGAAAAGTGCATAGCAAGTGAGTATACTGCTCAAAGTTCTGCCCATTGGGAAGATTACCTTTCACCATTGTCACAAGAATGTTCTACAAGGGTTGCTGAATAAAGGGTGCTGAATATATTCCCCACCCCCAAACCCAAAGAGGCTCACTAGGCATCGTGTCTATTTCTTGATTGTAGGATGGAGCAGATGTTTTGTCTTAAGTTTTATCTTGTGAGGGATGTCTCAGTATGCCCCACTGACATTGTACCCCTAGAAATTTTCCTGACATAGAAACCCTGTGAATTTTCATTACATTTACTTTCTACCTTCTGAAATACAAACGTCTTAGCAATGAACATGTAATGGTTGTTACTTAACACTTACTGGGTCCAATGATCACTGCATTATTGATGTAATGGTTGAGTATCCTATCTTGTGGAAAGGCTATGTGACCAAAGTTCTTACCAACCAAATTACAACAAAGGGCTGAAGAGTTGATACATCACTGAGAAAGGATGGTGAAGACAGATTGATAGCCTTGTCACCTAAAAGCAACTGCTCCTACCAGACTTTATTAACAAGTATCTGGAGAGAATAATTTGAAAACCAATAACCGCATACCTGGCAGGAAATGCTTTAATTTGCTCAAACATTGAAACCACATCTGGTACAGCAGTTGCAGTAATAGTTATCATCTGCTTAAGTTTATAGCTCACTGTCATCATCCAAGATCCATCTGGTAGAGGCCATCACAATGTGTCTCACATGTGTATAGCATAGGCATAGTTATGCAACAAGCTACATACTTACTTGTATATGACAGTGTTCCACTCATTAAAGCACACTTCTTTCAAGATTGATTCTCCTCTGAAAATTATTCATTCAATAGGGAAGAGAAGGATTTTAGCTTGTTCCTTTCACAACTACACAGTTCCACTTGGAAGTGAATTTTTTTGAAAGTGACTTTTTTGATCACTACTACTTCATCAGAAGTTTCTAGAATAGTACCTAGAACTAACATAATTCAATAAAATTTCCTAAATTTGTTATTAGGTGGTGATAAATTATTTGATCAAACTACCTTGACCCTCTAGTTGAAAAATGATGGGAATACAAATGAATTCAGAGTAGTTGAAAGTAGATTTTAACTATAGTGCCCACTTTGTAGTATTTTTTTTCTAATAACAGTGCTTATTTTAGTGGCACTTATAGAAAGGAATCCCTATCCAAACAACTCTTATCATAGTTAAGACGATATAAACCTAGAAGTTTATACTAAACAAGAAAGAAATGTACTCAGTTTTCTCTCAGGAAATGAAAGTGATGAGCAATATTTTAATTGTTTTATTTAGTACTATATTCTCTCAGGAAGTCACAGTACATTATAAGGACACACAGGAACTAGATTAATATCTCTTGTAGTAGTAAATCCACAAGGGTTCTAATGGTAGGTGTTTTAGGGGGCTGCTTTTCTTAAACATTTTTTCCTTAGGGTTCAATTAAGATCTGACACATCACACATCAAGTCTTTTTTTTCTTTAAATTAAAACAAGCTTGTTTTACATATCAATCCCAGTTCCCTCTCTGTCCCCTGTCCCCCACTAACCACCTATCCCATTCCCTTTCTGCTTCTCAGGGAGGGTGAGGCTTCCATGGGGGATCTTCACAGTCTGTCATATCATTTGGAGCAGGGCCTAGGCCCTCCCCAGTGTGTCTAGGCTGAGGGAGTATCCCTCTATGTGGAATGGGCTCCCAAAGTCCATTCCTATGCTAGGGATAAATACTGATCTACTAACAGAGGCCCCATAGACTGCCCAGGCCTCCAAACTGACACCATGTTCAGGGGGTCTGGAACAGTCCTATGCTGTTTTCCCAGCTATCGGTCTGGGGCCCATGAGCTTCCCCTTGTTCAATCAGCTGTTTCTGTGGGTTTCACCAGCCTGGTCTTGACCCCTTTGCTCATCGCTCCTCCCTCTCTACAACTGGAATCCAGGAGTCCAACTCAGTGTTTAGTTGCATCACAGCCGGTCTTACTTGAGGTGTTTGCTGGTGGTTTTTTAGATGCTGAAGGTAATGCATTAGGGACTGATGGTGACCTTGTCTTATCCAATCAGTTCCTGATGCAGTATCTACGACATCAAAAACTGTGACAACTGTGTTGAATACTGCTTATTTCCCATCAAAGCAACCCATTCTCTCTTATTCTTTCATTTGTGGTTAAGAGAGTCTTTATAATACAGCAATTCAAAGTCATACTAATGAGCAGATCCCCAATTGACCATAAGAAGCATAAAATTAATGGCAAAATTGGTTGATAAGTAGTTTTTAGAAAGGATATTAAGAAACATTTCCTTAGGCCACTAAATCCTGTTTTATCATGACAGTTTAAAAAACACTAAAATCTTAAAGTGGATTTGAATAAGACAGTTCTAATTAATTATTAAACCAGGCTCATTTATTAGAATAAATATATTTTGATATATATTTGTGATGCTTTTCTCTCTCCCAAGTTTACTGAAGATAGTTTATGTATAATACAAGTACTTAATTAATGTAAATTAATCTAGGTGATACACATTACCATCATTTTCAGACTTGTCCCTGTTTATCATGCCTTACTAAATTCTAGCTCACTGAAGAGATGAGGTTAGCAGATGCAGCTGGAATATGATATTAAGAAGCACAACAGTCAGACAAGCTTAGGATGGGGCTGATTTACTACTTTATTAGTGATTTTACAAGTTAGTTTTTGGGATCTCTCATTGGAAAAAAAATCTAATAAATTCTCTAGGATTTTGCCAAATACAGAATGAAAGACTTTACCACTACTTAGCAAATCCACCATTTTGCCCAATGGAATTTTTTATTTACATAAGAGAGATAATAATGTTGGTTAAGGGATTTGGAAAAAGAATAGAGCTGGTACTGAGAGGTAGATATTATGGACCTGGGAACTTAGAGTCTACTTACTACTTTCTGTCTGGCCTCTAGATTACCAGCCCGTAAGCCTCAGAGTTAAGATTTTACTTCACTTTTAAACACAGTAAAAATACATTTTTATAAATAATAAAATCTTGAAACAGATGGAAGCAGATGCAGAAATCCACAACTAACCAATGGGCCAAGATCCTGGAGTACAATTGAAGTAGGGGAGGAGGGATAATATGAACAAAGGAGTCAAGACCATGATGGGGAAACCCACAGAATCAGCTGACCCCAGCTAGGGAAGGATCATTGACTCCAGTTTGACAAATGGGGAACCTGCATAAGACCGAACTAGACTCCCTTAATATAGGTGACAATGTTATTGCTGGGAAAATATATGAGGCTACTGGCAATGGGTACAAGATCTAATACTAATGCACAAACTGACTTAGTGGAACACATTCTGTATGGAGAGACACCTTGCCCAGTCTAGGCTCAGGGGTATGGGGGGTTGGAGAGATGCCTTGGTCCTGCCTCAACTAGATGATGGGTCAGACTTAGTAGATTTCCTAGGGGAGGCCTTACCCTCTCCAAGGAGTAGACAGGAGGTGGAAGGGGTGGGGAAGCAGGAGGAGAGGAGAAAGGGGGAACTGGGATTGGAATGTAAAATATAAATTAATAAAAAATGTTTAAAAAGAAAATAAAAATGCTAACATCTTAAAAACTTGAGTTATCAGTGCAGTATTCTTTTTCCATTTTTTAATTTAAATTAGAAACAAGATTGCTTTACATGTGAATCCCAGTTCCCTCTCCCTTCTCTCCTTCCCCCGCACCCCAGACCCCAACTAGCACCCTACCTATCCCATACCCTTTTTGCTCCCTAGGGAGGGTGAGGCCTTCCATAAAGGGTCTTCAGAGTCTGTCATGTCCTTTGGGATAGGGCCTAGGCCCTCCCCTGTGTGTCTAGGCTCAGGGAGTATCCCTCTATGTGGAATGGGCTCCAAAAGTCCATTCCTATGCTAGGGATAAATACTGATCTACTACCAGAGGCCCCATAGACTTCCCAGGCCTCCAAACTGACACCATGTTCAGGAGGACTGGAACAGTCCCATACTGGTTTCCCAGCTATCAGTCTGGGGTCCATGAGTTTCCCCTTGTTCAGGTCAGCTGTTTCTGTTGGTTTCACCAGCTTGGTCTTGATAATGTTCTTTCTTTTCCCTTCTCTCTTCTCTATCTCGTCCTACTCCATGATCAGATATATTCAATTGATTAACAGATATTTTCCTGGGGTTTGGTTTTTATACTCTCCATAGAGATCTTTAAGTAAAGCCAAAATATATGTAAGCAGAGTGGTCTTGGGGATGCTAAAGATCTCCTTGCTGGAGAAGGGATCTGGGAACAAGGACCCAAAGCCAACCTTAATGATGCTCCCTTCTCCCTTGTAGATAACACTTTGGGTTTTGCAGCTAGACTGGATGAGTTAGGGCACTGGCACAACAACTCTTAAAACTAGCTAGGTATCAGTTATCACTGGTTATTTGTGCTCTGAAGAGGAACATTATTGATAAATAATGGGATGTGGAAAACAGGGCCCCTCAGGATTTTAATGGTATGAATATGTTCTAGGTGATTTTCTCCGGGAAGTGTCTCATTAAAAACAATGGAACAGGAGCCTGCTTTCTCATGACATGATTCTTAGCTACTGGAATGTCCAGTACAAAATTATAGCACTTTTTAAAAGCTGTGAATACTGTATTGGTGACTGAGGTGGAAGGACATGAAGATATCACTATTTTAAGTGGAGAATAAGGTGGGAAAATTGGGACTCAAGGGAATGAGCATATAAAAAAGCCAAATCACATAAAGATTATCTAGAAGGTCCTGCAAGATGAAGATCATTATAATGAGGTCTTGAACTTTCTTTTTGTTTGTTTGTTTGGTTTTTCAAGACAGGGTTTCTCTGTGTAGCTTTGGAGCCTATCCCGGCACTCTCTCTGGAGACCAGGCTGGCCTTGAATTCACAGAGATCTGCCTGCATCTGCCTCCCAAGTGCTGGGATTAAAGGCGTGTGCCACCAAAGCCCAGCAGTCTTGAACTTTTGCATTGGAAGATATGGGCCGGTGGGACTGGTATCTTAAAGCTGTTTCCGATTTGAGGAACTGTAAGTTTAAAAACAACTACCTTAACTTAATGGGAGACAATCTGGCTTGTGGGACCATGGGATCTTAAAGATAATTGTTGATAAGTGAATGTGATGATCTAGAGGGAAGAATGTCAGAATTAATCACCTACAGAAGTTCAAGTCTTAGTAATTAGCATAGTTCAGGAAATTTCGTGTTGAACTTTGTACTATTATGAGTCTTGTGGGAGTATAGCCTCAACTCATTTGTATTTCATCCTGTAAAAAGCAGAAAGGAAACTTTCTGGTTTGGGTAAAGTAGTAATAACTACTGAGTTTGAAAACAGAGCAAACATACTTGTAGATCCTGCAGAATGATGGTAAAAGAAGACAACTAAGACCCTAAGGAAAACAGAATCCTAAAATCCAGGCTCTAGAAATCTTTGTAAAGCCTGAAGGGTTCTCCTCCAAGCTGAGGGGCTTCATGAAGATAGAACTGAAAAAGAATAAGAATAATCTTTTCCAAATTATTCCTTGAGTTTCTCTAAAAAAAATCCGTTTGGTATGCCCAATGCTACAAGACAACCTGTTGGGTTACTGTAAGGAGGCTTGTCCATTCTTAGACTTCATCTAAGTCTACCCTCTCTTTCTTCCAAATGCTTTGAATGTTGATTTCACTGTCTAGATGATCTTTTTCCATCCTTAGTTCATAGCAGGTAACAGATAGTTACACTTTTTTTTTTAAACCACCAGCTCTCCTGTGTACCAAGGGCATGTATGGTTTGTTCAAGGCTACCTTCCTAACACAGAGCCTGGGACTTCATTGACATCCAGTACTTGTTGAATGGAAAATGAAAAGCTGCTAAATTTTTATGAGGCAGAAGTTGATGGTGGGGTGTCTTCTTAGAAACACTTGTAAGCTGAGTTTTCTACCTTCTTCAGGCCATCATGCTCATTTTTAGTGGTATATGGGATGTGAGAGTAACAAGTTTTGAGAGAAAGCATTAAATAATGCCATTTGTACCCAACAGAGAATGTATTTACTTAGAGGTTTGTGATTCAAGAACTCCTGGAAGAATAGGCTAGATTAGCCCAAGTTGGATACCTGGCAGGGTGACTGAATGAGCTCTAAACTATAATGATTGAGTCTATAATCAGGGAAATATTTTCTATCTCTGTCAATGATGAACAGCTCCGATTTGGTTAAAATGGGACCTTATGATGACCACTGAAGACATAACTATTGATTTATTGGTGAGAACACTGAGCAAGATAAAGTGATATTTTCATGCATTCAGTAGCTGCTCATTCTCCAGGAGGATATCAAGAGAGGGGCGCATGCCTCAGAAAACAGATGGAACTGGCCTTGGCTACTGTGCAGCCTATATAAGGGCTGCTTTAGGATGCCCCTGACTGCTTTCTCTCTGGCCAGGACTTCAAAGTTTTATTGGTAGAACATGGAGCTTTGATTGGACTGACTTAAGGCTGCCCACATTCTTTATCACACTCCTTCTGACACAGAAGGAACATAAAGTCCTTTGAAGGTAGAAAGCAGGGATCATTTAGCTAGCTCCCAAGAACAGAGTAAAAATTCTGTTGATAAAGAACGTTATCATAGTACAGGGGTTCCTGCAACAACCAGCAGGCTAGTGCCACTACATAAACTAGCTGAGCTGTAGTACTGGTTGTTCTTAGAAGCTTTATTAGCATTTTTAGGTTTAGAATGAGATACTGTATTTCTGTTATCAATGATCATCCCAGGTCCCATTTTAACAAGCTAGAGCTTGTAGACTTTCCTGCTTGTAGACTCAATTCTATATTTGATTTCTAGTGTTAAATCAGTCAAGAGACATCTTGAGAGGATAAGATTAGTAGGTGATCCTAGCATTAGGATCAAGGAGAAACCATTACTGTCCCTGTGGTGATGGCATACTCCAGGGTTTATATATCCAGAGGGAGTTAGGGGTGTTTAGAGAACATTCAAGGCAAAACTTGTACTTCTGTATGGATGTGTAGTAAGTATATGCTGGAACACCAGGCCAGAGTACAGGCCATGCCTATCTAAAGGAATTGTCTTGGGATATCCTTTGTACAAGATACCAAATAGGGTGGAGAGTC